GAAGGAAGGAAGGAAGGAAGGAAGGAAGGAAGGAAGGAAGGAAGGAAGGCAGGCAGGCAGGCAGGCAGGCAGGCAGGCAGGCAGGCAGGCAGGCAGGCAAGAAGGAAGGGATAAGTAACTCAGAGTGTTTGTTTAACCATTACTTCGTACATTATTTCAATGCTAAATTTTTAAATGCAAAATTCTTAAAACAAGGATACTTTATTGAAAAACATTTGGAAATCAGAATCCTTATGTACTCCTTATTCTGTGTTTTCCTCCCCCAGAAAATATTGCTTCTTATTCTAGTGAAAAATATGAAGAAGTCTTTACTTTTATGGTATGAACTGCATCATTTCAGGGCTAACAAAATTCATTATACTTATGTACAATGCAAACACCCTACACTTAATGAGCTCTACCACTTCAGGGTCATTTTATGAACAAACATAATCATGAAACCGCCTGGATGGGGAAAGGAAAGGACCTCCTGTCTGAAAGCTCCCTCTTGAGGCACCAGGCTGCCAATCCTGAAGGGAGGGGAGTAATTCCTAAAATCCACATTCTTCTCCTAACTTTTCCAATACTTCTCCTATCTACATTTATTAGATTTAAGTCCTAACAATATATTTACATATCACAATACACTTTTTGATATCTTTAGTTCACAAATTATTTTTCATAAAATCTTGACTTTTAAATGTTCATCAGACTGAGACATGTAAAACTAGCTTTCTTTCTCTACACATTTTTCCTCTACTATTTTCTTTTTACAACTCATTTCTGTATTATGTTCCCAGAATTTATTGATTTTATACATTTATGTATTATATCCTTTGCCAATATAAGTTGCTTTCATTCCCATTTTACTTTGAAATATGATTTTCCATAAATTAGTGTAGTAATTTCTAGTCTTTTTTGTTCAACTTTGATATACTTATGCTAGTTTTCTTTTTTAAGCTGTCCCATTCCTTTCAATTATCTTGTCTTAGCCCCTACATATTTTAATCATTTCTCAGTTTTGTATTTTACTAAAAACAACTTTCATCTATTTAAATATCAGCTAGCAAAACTAATATATTTGCTTTCATTCTTTCATTTTTTATTTTTTCACGTGTATCTATCATTGTCTACCTTTGTATATTTTGCAATATAAATTAATTTTGTATAATGTACTATTTAACTTAAATTTTCTTTGGCATAACTACTTATATGGAAAATTTGCTTTATTTTAAATTCTATTAATTATAATCCATGTTCAGTAAACATTACAATTTAGATACAGTTTTCAGAGTAGAAGAGTAGTATGTGTAGATTTACAACCCCCACTTTTAATATTATAATAGTAAATTGATCTTATTAAGGCAACTAAAATTACTTCTTGCCTCATAATTTTCTGGTAAAATTTAAAGTTTATCGTGTAATTGTTATCAAATAATACTATCTACAGAATTGTAAGGAATATTTATGCGCACATACAGCAAATGGTAAGCAGGTAAGATCTCAGGTCTTCCTGATCTATTATTGCATGTAGTACTTTGTATGGCAGCTGCAAATTCAAGCTAGGTAGTTGCTGTACATGATAAGAAGAATGAATATCAGAGTGAATAAAATCTTTTCCTTCAAACTATACCTTATCACTTAAAAAAATCTATCCATCTATCTATCTATCTATCTATCTATCTATCTATCTATCTACCTACCTACCTATTTGGTACACGGTCTTGCTATGCAGCTTGGACTTGTAGTGATCCTCCTGTCTCAGCCTCCCCAGCACTGGGATGATGTTGATTTTTTTTTTTTTCCAGAACCAGGGATTGAACTCTGGCCCTTGCACTTACCAGGCAAGTGCTTATTCTACTGAGCTATCTCCCCAGCTCATCTCAGCACTGGGATTATAGGCGCACGCCACCACACCCAGTTTTGGTGTCTGTCATGGGGCTCCAGGCCAGCAAGGCATGCAGTCCAGGGCATTGAAGTGGCATCCTCATGTTTGCCAGGCAGGCGCTTAGACCACTGAGCTATCTCCCCAACCTAAACCTTACCACTTAACTAACATTAAATTTTCACCATATGTGCAGGGTCTGCAGATTTTTATTCTCCACACTATTAGAACAAAAATCTTCCAGACTGAAGTTTCCAAAGTGTTGAAGTCACTGTCGTCATCTGTTGGAAAAATGAAGCCACGGTCTCCATGGATCCCTCCTAGGATGCGTTTAAGGATGTACTCTTTGCTTAGATCCTTTCCATCCCTACAGGAACACTTTAGGCTCCTGGAACCATCTGCCATGACGGAGGAAAGGACATTGACTAAAAGTGACAAAGAAAACTCAAGCATCTAGACAGTAAAACTGTTACCTATTGGGATCTTTTTAGCCAAGTCATGTAAATGTTATGCTTCCTTCCTTTTTTTCCCAGTCCTCCTGGGAAGTCTTTCCATATGTATTAGTCACTTTCTCATTGGTAAGGCACAATATCTGGCACCCACAACCTAAAGAAGGAAAAGTTTATAGTTAACTGAATTCCAAGGCAGAAAAAGGAATGGCAGGGGTGCACAGTGGGTGAAAAACTGCTCAGATCCTGTAGCCAGTAAGCAGAGAGAGAGAGAGAGAGAGAGAGAGAGAGAGAGAGAGAGAGAGAGAGAGAGAGAGATGGACATTAAGGATACACCCTTCCAAGTCACACTCCGTGACCCCTCTCTTCAAACTAGACCCCAAGTGCTAACAGCACGTGAGCTGTAGAGCCCCATGATCCAATCATTGAACCCACCTCTGAGTACATGAGAGGTTTGATTTAATCATAACAATATTTTTCTCAGGATTATGAATTAGGTAAAACTCATTTTTATTATCTTCAGGAATAATAGATTTGGTAGTTTTTATAGTATTCAGTATATACTTACTTGAATGAGGTAAAAAATTCCACTTGGCATTCAAGATGGTTGCTATGTTTATGTCTAGGTGTTCCCTCAAAGCCTCATGCAGCCATTGGGCGACTTCCAGTATGTGATTAATTCATGATCCAGTGCTGGGATTATGGATGTGACTGCTGCTAGGATTATGGGTGTAAATGCTACACCCACCTGGGGCTGATAACCTGAATATAATGTAAGGAAGGGAGAGAGGCTGCTGCCTCCCCTGCTCCTCCCTGTTTGCTGTTGCTGGTTTTTTTTTTTTTTTTTTTTTTTTGTCTTTTTTGAGACAGGCTCTTACTCTGCACTGCAGGCTGGCTTTGAGCTCACTTTGTAGTGCAGGCTGGTCTCAAGTTGCAATGATCCTTCTGCCTCTGCCTCCCAAGAGCTGGGAATTACTGTTTTCCACCCTGCTGCCCTCTGCCATGTGCCACTCTGATTTCAAGCCAGCTGAATATGGACGGAAACCTGCACAAACTGTGAGCTAAATAAATCTTTGTGAGACTGGGTATGGGTGCCTGTAATCACTTGGGAGACTGAAAACAGGAGGATCACTATGAGTCCGATCAGTGTAGTGAGACCCTGTACTAAACATATTAAATAAAAAATAAATACATAAACCTTTCTTTCCTTAATTTTGGGTGTCAGGTATTTTGTCCCAGCAATGAGAGAAAACTAATCGAGACAATGGCCATTACTCCTGATTTAACAAAGTCTGTGGAGACACTTTGACCAAATTGTAGAAATTATAATAAATGCTTTGACAATTTACTAAAAAGGCCAAGAGGAGGAAAATTAATTTTATAGAATAAAATGTTCTCACCCTGACTAACTATATTCTCACCCTAACTACATATACTGATACTTGTGAACTAAGCTACTGCACTGCAGATGGTAATTTGTAATAGTAGTTTCATGCTTGGAGAGCCTGTCATTTTGGTCTTCTGAATATGGGCTGCTTGTCATGACATGCCAGTTGCTGCTATGATGTCTGTCGGGTAGATGGTTGTTCAAAAAGTAGGGGGTGGTGAATGAAACCAAGAGACAGGAAAAGGAATATTGTGGGACTGTCATGCTTCAAGGTTGTATATGGTGAGATTATTGGACTTATGTGTAAACATAAGAAGTATATAATTCTTTATGCCTATTTTAAAATATATTCTAATTTTTGAATGTTTTTTATCCTATTTTTTAGGGATTTAAAGTTCAACATATCAATACTTGATGAAAAATACCTGTTCCATATTATGCCTAAGATGTTTGATATGCAGACAGATAGTGAGGTTAAGCTTAACAGCCTAAGTTGTATGGTAATAACAATAAGCTTGTCTTTTGGATGGTTAACAACTTAAGTTTGCAGACCAAAATTAGAGAAAAAGGAGGGCTGCAAGGAAAGCCAAAATTTTCGCCCTAGCCTTCTAAGGTCAATTAAGACTCAGGACATATGAGAACTTGTACTGTAACATCATGTAACTCAGTAGTGTCCCAAATTTTCTGATCAAGGAGATTATGCGACCAAAGAGGAAAGTGATCGATGATGTAGAGTGTGCCCAAGAGAGAAAACATTTTCTCAGGCTTTCACAGAGAGTACACTGGCTAAGCAATGGCCGTGACTCATCCACATGGCTAACACTGACAAAGGTTTTATAATCTGAGGTACAGGATCTCAGCATAAATCCTGAGGGAATTTCACTGAACTTATCAGATCCAAAAGCTACGACTCTTGTTGCATAGTTCCTGCTTTACCTTGGTCTTAACCATCCAGCAGAAAAGTATAAAAACGAAGTATAAGAAGTAAATCCATGCTGTTATGTTGAGCTGTAGGGGTCTCAGGTCAACAATTTCTGACATTGCCAGTCAAGCAGAAGACCCAATACTATTACAGGCTACTGGACTCTTCTAGAATATTTTGCTGAGTTTACACACCTATAATATTCAAATAACGGAACTTAACAACAAAACGGGGATGGAGATGAATGTCCATTTTGTATCTGTGTATTCAAATGGCTAGGATCGATATACAGTTACATTCTCTTAATGAATAGAGGGATTTGTTCTAATGGTGTTTGTAAGTAGGATATCATGTCTGCATCTTGTACAGCAATTAACCACTAGGAAGAATATATACAATGTGTTAATTATTGAAACTGTCCTAGCAGTTTGGTTTGAAACTGTCTCATTGCTATTTGTTTCTCAATAAATTTACGGAAAAAAAAGAAAAATAGTTTTGCAACAGTGTCATAATGGCTCTACTATGAAAATCTATTTTGAAATATATTTTTGATTTTCTTTCTTAAAAAAAAGAATAAAATGACCCCAAATGAAGTATAGTTTTATGTATATCATACTTATGATCGCTGAGTTTTAAAAAGTTGTACATCCTTATGACTTTATTTGAAATGAAGAATTTGGCATCAATTTAACCCCTACAGATACAAGTTTTTCTGTTAAAACATGTTTTGTGACTAGAGAAATTGACTTTGTAAGAAATAGGTAGTGAAACATATTAGTAGGTTTTTAATACTTCTTTCAAGGGCAGCAGGGTGGAAAAGGGTAATTCCAGCACTTGGGAGGCAGAGGCAGAAGGATCATTGCAAGTTGAGACCATCCTGCACTAGAAAGTGAGCTCAAGGCCAGCCTACAGTGCAGAGTAAGAGTCTTTCTCAAAAAAGACAAAAAACAAAACAAAACAAACAACCAACAAAACATATTAACAGATTTTTAATACTTTTTTCAAAAAAAAGTATTCAATTTTTTAATACTTCTTTTTAAATCTTCACTTTTATTGCTGAAGGACACAGTCTCAAACAGAGAAAAGTGAACACCATTATCCCTATAGCTTTTAGAAGGTCTATCTGCTCATAAAATTTCAAACATTTAAATTATGAATGACTTCCTAAATATAAAGTTACTCACTTCAAGTGGAAAGCACTCCTGCTGGACCCAGGAGTATTTAAATCGCAGCTTTCTACTTTGCCACAGCATAAGCACATTGAGTGCACTAAGCTAATATGCTAATAAATGTAACCTTAGGATAATCTTCTCACTACTCCCTCAAGAACATGAATTTTGGTACACATGTGAGTTATAATTGAAAAATACTGTGTTTGATTTTTTAAACATTACTATAGTACAAGACAAATTGCTCTTAATCCTCCTGGTTCCAGATGTTTATCTCATTGTTCTTGCCACTTCCTAAAGCAGTTCTGGAAGTCTTCTGTGTCTTTATCTACACTAACACATCTACCTCAATGTCCTGAAGCAGTTCAAATCACATACCTTTTATTTTGCCTCTGGGAAGAGCCCAAGTTTCACAGTGCTAGCACTGTGAATACAATCCAGCAAGTAAGATGGATGAAGACACACTGTAATGCTTTTATGAGTTTGCCTTCTCTTTGGGTTGCATTTGGCAGCAGCACTCATAATTTTTTCTATCACACCTTCTAAAGACACTCATAAAGGAGGACTTTTTGAACTGCTTCAGAAAGTGGCAAGAAGGAGGAGATAAATGTGTTGAAAATGTGTATATTGGTGATGGCAGTGGGTGTGCTTTCAGAGGAATTAACTGCTATGTTTTTTACTGTAATAATTTTTTAAAAGTTAAATATTCATCATATAGTTCAATCACACTGTGTAGTTAGTTCTAAATGATGGATGTATTACTAGGCAAGCAAACACAAGCCTATTTAATCTGCAGTACAAGGGAGATGTTAAAGAATAAAAAAAGTAAAAGGAAGAAAATGAAGAAAATCAGAGCTCAAAAGCCAGTTCCTCATGGTATCATAGTGCTATATCTACATAGGAACTAGACACACAAAATTGTAAGATGCAGTTTATCTAAAATTTTTATTCAAATGAAAATGTATCATAAGTAACAATCACTTTAAAGGCAGAGAAAATCACCAAAGAGCCATGCTTAATCTGAGGGTGGTGTGTTTGTCTCTGTTAGTGATTATAATTTTTTTATTTGCATTTTTAGTATATTTGGGGTTTAGTAATTAAAATTCCATATAATGTTCCTAGCTGTACCACAAATGTACAATTGGAGAGATTAATTCATGTGATATTTTTCTGCCTACTTTGAAATCATACCAGTATGAAATAATTCTTTTGAACATTTATCTCATGTACTAGTCATCAATCCTTTAGTTTAGTGATAAAAATCCAACTCAAACTAGGTTGAAGGTCAAAAGGAATTTATTGGCTCAATTAATGTGAAGTCCAAGGATCAAGTTGGTTTTATGCAGCATGTCTCTGAATTTCTCTCTGCCTGGGCCAATCTCAACCTGTGCCTGTTATCCTAAACTCAGTACAACCCCTTTTGCATTCACATATCCTGGTCTGAGACATGAAACATGTGATGATGCTAACTTTAAATGTAGTTAGAAAAAGGAGTCCTAAGAATGTGTCAGGATATTTTTTCTCTATTTC